GTTAAATAAATTCTGTCACTATCCCGAAATGTAAATTTACTGAATGACTAATATGATGCATTAAAATGTTTAAAAACTTTCATTACTGGAAACTAAGGATTTTAAAAAACTTTTCTCCCCAAGAACACCTTAGAAACTCCTGCTTCACGTCCTGCAATCTCTGCACAACGGCCTTCCATCGATTACCGGAGGTGTATGCGGCCAACCGGAAAGAAACTGTCTTAACATTGGCGCGGAACGGTATGCAAAATTTTGTCCTTTCATTTAAATGTGCAGGTGAGTGTTAAATTGAGCTTCGTCATCGCTAAGTATTCCCGGGACATCCCGGGATGATGCAATTAGCTTATTCTAGTGGGTTGCATGAGGGTGTAACTGTGTTTGTAATATCCTCATACTGTGTACACTAATTGAATTTGGTGGTCCTTTAGGTTTGATCACTTTTTGTGTCGTTGTGCTATGCACAATGGACAGTGCAAAGTAGGATGGAAATTTTAGTGATCGGGAATTTATTCTCTCATTTTACTTAAAGGTTAAAATTTGATGGGTATGAGAAGAAATGCTCAGGGAAATACTTTATAAAAGATTGTTTCAATTATTATGTTGCATTTGTGCAAACATTCGCAGGGTGTTGCATATCGCTTACGCTACCGTTTATTGATTCTCGTTGATCCGATTATCATTTCAAGAATTTATTTTGATTTTCAATTTTTTTTGGTTCGAACTGGAGCAAACGATAGTAATGATGGATTATTTGGTGAAGCTCTTGGATTCAGTATGTCCACCGAAAGGCATCCATGCAAGTGCTTTATCGAAACCATCAACCACTGGACTACTGGTAACTTATGGTATTGATAATCATTGGTAGTTTTTGGTACTGATAAGCCATCTGAATATAATTTAAACTTAGTGGAAGGTGAAAGTTTAGTTGTCGTGTTTATTTTTCTTGACTCTCTGTCCAGTAAAAAAGCTAGACAAACCTTAAATTAATAGTTGCTGTGAAAGATTTCTGGGAAGTTGAAACTTATTTTGAAACTTAATTTCGAGTTTTTTTTGCCATTTACTTATTCTGAAATGAAGTGTTCCTTAAAAGATAGATTATTCTTTTATGCCTTATTGTTTCTGATTTTGTAGGGTCTTGTGAGGGAGTCACATTTGGTCCGCCTGGCAGGTTTATCAGGTGTTTTGGCAATATCGCTTGGCGCGTATGGAGCGCATGTTTTACGTGAAAGTGGAAATGCAGATGAGCGGCGTATACGTGCTTTTGAAAATGGCAATCGTTATCATCTGATACATTCAGTAACATTATTTCTTGCGAATAAGGCACGTTTTCCTTGGCTTACTATTTCGCTTTTACTTGGTGGTATGGCAATCTTCTCGGGATCTTGCTACCATTACAGCATCACCGGAAAAGAGAATTTCAGAAAATACGCCCCGATCGGTGGTATCATGTACATTTTAGCCTGGATTTCATTCCTATTTTAATCGAACTTTACATTTTTTTTAATGTTTATATTAAAAATTTCATAGCATTACCCCATTCGATTTTTCATTTTGATTTTTAATTGCACACGAAAATTTTCCAAAATTTTGTTGTAAATGTCGTATGTCAACAGTAATTAATTAAATAAAATGTACTTTAAAATCCTCTTGTTCGATTCCAGAATGTTGGATTGTAGATACAGTGGCATATCTTCGTTTATTTTTTATTGCAAAATAACGATTAGTCCCTACCCAAATCTTGTTTTCCCACGCTGTGTGGCAAATCATAGCTAACTTCTTGGATCCAAATTCCCACACTATTTCCAATTGTTTAAACGATGAATGAAAAAAGAACGATTCCTGATGACAATTAGGTTACTTCAACTAAATTCCTAGACATATAAATAGCTGTACATTCAAAAAGGAATGGATTCTTTGTTTTTAAAATGATGTTCCACCCAACAAATGCGTATAATATATCTTTCCGTAAGGGAACATTCAATCAGTATGCAAGTTCTGACGGAAATTTTCGCCGATATTTTCCCCGAACACAGTGCATTCATAGAAAATCTCAAAAATGATGGAAATGAATTCTTTTATCAAAAAGACATCAAATTCGACCTATTTTCGAGGCATAATAGTTTTTTGGATTTTTTAATGAGTTGACTTTGAATAGTAGTGGAATTCAGTAAAATTTAACAAACTCGTTAAATACATTTTAAATATCATATCATAGTGAGCAAAAATCTATAAATAGAAAATGAAGTGGTAGAATTGGATGAGAAGGTCGAAGCATGAGAAAAATACACTACAAATATGTATACATTATGCACAGCTTTCATTTCCTTTTAGATCTTTCGTGGCTGATAATGCTGTAACGCAATTTGCACTATTTCGAGATGCTGAGCTGCGACCTTCAAAAAATCGTTTTTGAGTTCACAACTGTATTGGTTAATATATGGATTTTTATGTGAAAACATAGCTGATAGTCTAGTTATGATTATATTACAATCTATAAAATCACAACTATCAATCCCGAGAATTATGAGCACGATTGGTACTGAAATTTAAGATATAATGTATAACAAAGAAAAAGGAAATATCAACTACTTCATGATTTCATCTTGTGAATATTTATCTCAGAAAGCGAAAAGTTGCTAGCCATATTTTATAAATGACCATACTTCCACAAGATATCAAAATTGTTATCACTGATGTTAGCACAATGGTTGGTTAAATTTTAAGTCCTAATTTAGATTTAGAAATTAAACGGTAAGATTTCAAAATTCTGACCGAAAAATTGATGAACCGTAAAAAGAAGATTATTAATTTGGATAAATATTACAGATAAATTACCTTTAGCATATGCGTCACTGGACTTAGAAAATGCCCATTTTGGAGTTTCTTCCCTGAGTACTTTCACTAATTCCTCAATTTCTCGCGTTGACATACCAATTGCACAAGCAACATTTAAATAGCCATCATGTTGTCGTGATGAATGTGAACCGAAATTAAGGAATTCATAGCCATCAATTGTTTTCGACAAGCCGTTTGGTGTCGTTCGAGCACCGGTAACACCACGACTGAAAAGTTTAGCGCCGAAGGCATTCTGCTGTTGTCTTGTCCAACCCTTCAATGTAATTGCGAGCGAAATTTGATTCATTTTAACTTCCATAACCTAAAACAAGATTAATGCAATCAAATAACGCAATACGGATTTTATTTCATATAGTGTCATATACTTTTGACTGAAAATATAAAAATCATATACTTTTATATTTTCAGTCATATACTTTTAGTAAATAATTGTTTGCCAAATGTTGAATTTTGTGAAGTTTTACTGTCAGACATATGAAAATTTCAACTAAAGAATTTATAGTAACAGTAGAGTTAGTCCGATTAGAAACTTATTCAAGCTCAGTCTTATCTCATTACAGAACTTGCACTATACTCTCTACCAATATATCAATAAACGTGTATTACCAAGATCAAGAAATCCAATTAATGGATACCATTTTTGTTAGAAAGGATAATAAATCGATTGATAGATATGTGTATGTATCATATATAGATATGAGGTTGTACATGTGTATTGAATATACATAACCGAATGGATAGATAGATAAATGGATATAATGATGGATAGATTATGAAATTCTTTTACCTTTTGTCCAATTGTTTTAGCATATTCTTGCATTGCTGCACGCAAAATTTCAAAATTGGTTTGCTGCGTATTGTACAGTTCTCTTAATCCAACTTTACCTAACTGTAGCAAAGTAATCAATAAATCACGTGATGGTACGATGGAAGCTCGTCCTGGATAAAAATTAGCTATAATATCTAGGGATTTTTCATCAAATGTTGCTACAATTGAACCACCAACTGGTACCAAGAAATTCTTATCCGTTGATTGTATAAATGCGTCAATATATCCTGCTAAACCAGCTTCTTCGATTCGATTTCGACATTCTGGTGATTGTAAACCGTAAGCATTATTTACCAGATGTTTTACACCATATTTAGTACATAATTCACCGATAGCAACCAAGTTATCCGGTTGACGAGGAGCAAAACAGGAAGTGGTGCTTAGCACAGCGATAATTTCATCCTTTTGTTTTTCCAAAACAACTTCCAGAGCAGTAAGATCTGTGACAAGTCCATCACTCATCATTGTCTCCTGGATACCATCAATTATAATCGGTTCAAAACCAGCCGTAAAAATGGATTTGAAACATGATTTCTGATCGATACGTAAAAAAATTACAAATTTAGCACGACGTTTCGTATGCCTCCATGCACCCAAACATAGTGAAAGTGCCATACCAGTTGCAATAGGTATTACCATAGCTGCCTTCGTTCCCGTTATCCCGAGAGAACGAATAGCATCCAGGGCAAGTTTGTTAGTAATTTCTGATAGAATTGATGAACCAATTGCTTTTGGTTGACGTTCAGTTAAATTTCCTGATCTGCCAATTCCGTGCGCTAAACCATAATGTAATTGTTGAACCAACGGTGATAAAATACGACCTTCACGTTCACCAGCTCCAACACAAATTGTACCAAAACGATTATTTGAATCCAAACTTGCTAAACGTGTTAGAAATCCCTCAATTGCTTGCTGTGGCAAACCATTCTCCGGAATACAGCCATCACAACGCAATGCTGCTTGCAGTCGATTGAAACAACGCGTAGTATGGTCAGTTACTTCTTGTTCTGTTTTCATTTCATTCAAATGAAACTGAAACTACTTGTTTCTTTAAAAATCCACCAATATATGTAGCTAAGTAAGGAAGATGTAAAAATGTAATCAACAAAATTCAAATTTGATCCTGAATTTATATTCAAATTTCATACTATCTATGAAATATGAAATTTGAACAAACTAATGTTATTTATGAATGAAAATAAATAACAGGAAAAATTGCACACTCAAACTGACTGTGCTGCAAAGTCATCTCAACTTACAATCTCGAACTTTTTCGAACTCTTTTTCATTCGGTAGACCTCAGTGCAATTGTTACAGATATTAAGCAAATTCGATTTTCCTGCACCTACTCTCCCCTACCTCAGCAGCATAAAAAAGACTGATAGTGATAATCTAAATTAGGCAATACTTATCAATTCCTAATCTCTATTTTATCTACATCCCAAAGTTTCATAATTATTTCAAACTGATGCGGTTCCCTAACTCCATGATCTCTCCGAAGTGCAAACACTGGACTGTACATCAAGTGATAATGTTCCACACATATCGTGCCAAGCTCCCTCATAACCCCTCCTCGAACTCCCTCACTGCGAGATTCACTTCAAAATACATTTGAATATCCTCTTCGGGTTTTTAGACAAAACATGCCCTTTTTTTTCTAGATTCTTTCGTAATTGTGACTAAGATGCGAATCATCCGTTTTTTTTCGATAAAAATAATTTGAACTATTACGGATTGGATAAAAGAAATAAGGACTAACTGGAGTCTTTCGACTGATAAGTTTGTTGGTCCTTTATTTTAAAGTAGGATGAAATAAGAGATATAGTCTGAAAGTCAAATGTAATGCCTACAGTGCGGTATCATGAAATTATATGATGAACAACCTTTTTAATAATAACATTTATTTAATAATATAATATAAAAGCTTAGTTCATTTGACAAATAGAACAATATATCCAATAAAACAAGCGACTCAACGATTGGATTTCGCGACACGTTCCAATTCATCTTTCTTTTTGATTGCATAAGAATTTGACGATCCCTTTGCTGCATTAATCAATTCGTCTGCCAAACACTCCGCAATTGATTTGATATTACGGAATGCTGCTTCACGCGCACCAGTGCAGAGAAGCCAAATAGCCTGCAGTAAAATTACACTTTCTCTTTAGGTAACAATGTAAGCCGAAATCATGCTTCATTTTTAGTTTACCATTAAAGTATATTGTTTGCAGTTCGGCAGAAGTTACTACACAGATTTTCCAATACATCGAAAAGAAAGAACCACCTATTGCAAATTTTTAAAGGAGATTGGAATTACGTGTCGATCTATATCAAATACAAATTTTCTGTTGCCGGTTTTTTTTAATGGTTGTAACAGAAACAACGATAGTCCTCTTTTTAAACATTTTAACAATCACCATAATGCTCTTTAACTTTGAAAAAAAGACCTGATTTACACGACGAAGAGGTGATACATCGACAGCTTGTCGTCTCACCGTACCTGCACGACCAATACGTGTTGAATCTTCCCTTGGTCCACTATTTATTACAGCATGAACGAGCACTTGCACAGGATTCTGAAACAAGCTATATCTCAAAACAATCTGTTTAAAACCATCATGCTTTAAAAAAGATAAAGTCCATTTTTCTCTTTTTTTTTGAATATTAAACTCATCCATGCTACAAGTATGGAGCTTATTCTCTAATATAAAAGCAAAATATTTTGGACTTATGATTTATCTGCATAAATTAATGAACTATCTATATAAATTAATAGAAGTCAAGCTTTTGTAAATCCTTTCATGTTAGAAATTTTCGCGCATTTTGTAGTGTTATTTTTGATTTTGTGAACTAATGAAATAAGAAGAATGCATTAGAGACAAATTAAAAAATTAAAGAATATAAAATTAAACCTCTCCGGATAACAGATGGATTATTTCGAATGCATGTTTTACGATACGCACAGTCATTAGTTTCTTGCCGTTATTCCGACCATGCATCATCATTGTTGATGCAAGTCTTTCTACCAACGGACATGTTGCTTTACGAAAACGCTTAACTTGGTACCGACCAGCACTATGTGGCAAGTATTTTGCTGACTTCCCTTTTACAGCTATATAATCCTGCAAAATACCGATCTGGTCGGTTACTAAACAACTCTTAGTATGACACTTTAAACGTGCATTAATACAGAATTAATACAGAATTTCTACGGATGTGATTGCAAGTAAGAAATAACAAAGTATGTAACCCTATAAAAATTACATCAGGATTAATTAAAATATTGTTTCATCACTGAGTCACGCAATACATAAATGGCTAGGCAGTTAACTCTTCTATTAACAAGCAACATAATGCATGTATTATAAAAGCTTACAGTAAAGTAAAATGCAGAACAAACTGACCACTAAAGAAATATCAGAAATATGAACTTCGTCCAATGACCATTTGCCAAAAAGTTTCACTTCCGGTGCCTCCGATTGACCTAATGGTTCATCATAACCACCAATGACATCATTTGCTTCGGTTATCCACTGGTCAGACATATTCATAACAAAGACTACTTCACCAAATACTTGAAACAAGAATCGTAAGTGCATCTATTACAAACTGATCAGACTGGAAGATTCGTATGCGTATGCCATTTATTGACAAAAACCTTATTCGATTGTGATATTAAACATATATTAAATACGCCTGTATCTCATACCGCCATCCAATTAATAATTATAAGGTACAATTCATACAAGTAATTTAACATTCAATCTGAAATCAGTTAACCAGCAAATAATAACGACATCATGTTACTGATGACAACAACATAAAGCAGCTAAAATATCCGATAAAATTAGAAATGACATCAAATACAAAGTAATAAATTAAAACCAAAGTAACGACAAGGATATGAAGAATTCTTACAACTCTAAATTCCGTGCAAAAGAAAGAAATTTCATCGTTATATATCGCTGATATCGCTTATCACCTTATCATATCACAAAAAAATAACGCTGATCAAACAAAACACCGAAGAAACCTTCAACAATCATGTACATCCTATCAAAACCAGGCCTCAATGTTCCAGCATGTATCCCTATGCTCCATCTGACTCAGACACTGCGAAAATAAATCATCCCAAGGAAATGCTTTGCACTACAACGATTTTTATCGTTCTGTTTATGCTGCTAACGTGTGCTATTTGAAATGATGCATTCCTATAATGAATTTAAGAACACCTTTAATTACGCGGTGATTTTTTTCGCATTCACGTGACGATTATCAATGATATTTTCATATGATTTGTGAAGTTCGTTTAGTCTCATATTTGAAAATATATTTAAATTAGATTCATGCAATGAATCATTTATCATTTCTTAATTCTGTTCTCAGGCTTAAATTATCAAGTTGATAATATTTTTACTTTAAAAATAATGCATTACGTGAAGTTATCTGTGAATGCATTATGTGAAGTTGACTGTGAATAGAGTGAACGCCTTATATGAAATTGTCTGTGAATAGAATGAACATAATTACATAAATTTCTAAAAACATAATTCCTTTATTCCATCTCTGCCACATATATTATTCACTTTTTCCATTCTCCATTTATTCTCAATCATTATTATTATTGTGATGCACATTTTCTCAAAGGATTTCTCAATCTTTGCACATTCAGAACCAATTCTATTACATGTATCCTATCACTCCATGTGATCTCTCATTTTTCAGTACTGCCTCTCACCATCAGTGTTTCATTCAATGCATGTTAATTTCGACAATTTAAAAATCTTTTAATATCATTTGTCTTTTTCTTTAAATGAATGGTATGCAATTTTGGATTTCAGTTGTTGATCAACATTATTGAGGGACTAATTTATCTTTCTTTCTTTTTCCATCACAAGAAGAACATTAAAACAATATTTCTCTTAGCTTCAAAAATTTTCAGTAATCTCTTTATTGAACTTTTTTAAAATTATCGTTTTAGTATTTAAAAGCCCATTATATTGTTCGAGTATATGTCGCCATTATATGTCTTTGGTCCTCACTGTTTGACAATTATTGATAATTGTCTTGGCTTCAGTCATTGTAACATTCCATCCATTCAGAAGCCAACAGATTTAATGAAAAAGTATATTGTTTAAATTAAAAAATTCATTTAATCATTTCATTTCATACAAGCTTTATCCTATTGAAAATACATTTTTTTTTTATTTCTGGAATATTCAAACAATATATCAATCAGTAATATTGAAATAAATTAAGACACAAAAATAATGATATGTGTATAGCTCGAGATCTTCACACAATCATTAATAACAGCAACCTTCGCTCATTTGTGCGCAAGTGACATTTTGCAACCGACAATGTAACGAATGAAATGTTGGACGTTGTTCCGGGTCACTGCTCCAACATGGCAGTATAAATTCTTGATAAAAATTGACGGATGAAAAATCCGGCCTTTCCAAATAAAACTAAAAAATGAGGTTACTTATTTATTTATTTTGAAATTTTTAAAAATACATAATTATTTAACAGATTTCAAAACGTTTTAATCCAAAATTATGACTTGAACAATGCGATGTAAATTCTTAGTAAAATTAAACTTTTCTAAATAAATTACGATATATATAGATGTGTGGTTGCAAAGGGAGAAAATCGTAGGTAGAGATGAAAGCAGGGATAATATAAAGACCTAAGATGTTACCTAAAAACCTAGATATGATGAATAGTAGAAATTCAATCTCCAATTTTCAATTTTTAGTCTATTGAATCAAAAATGAAATGGATAGACTATTCTAAGAGTATAAATCGATTTGTCATTTTCATACTCATGTTTCTCTCGGTGTTACAGTAAACTTTACTATAATTTACAGATGATTATAGATATGTAAATATTAGGTAGTGAGTTCTCCTTCAAAATTTATTTTAAGATATAAGTTCTTGCGTAATTTATTTTAAGATATGAGTAAGTCTTGATAAGTGATAATGATAGGTAAACTGTTTATTCATTCACTAACCTTTAATGTTCCATGTTTTTCCATAAATAATAAATTTCGATATATGTCATTATCAGTTTTCATTTTATAGGGATATTTATGGCAACCGTTGAGTACTTCCCAAAGTGTTACACCAAAAGACCATACATCACCTTTGATTGTAATTTTTTTCTGAAAATTAAAATTCAACTTTGACAGTTAATTGCAAACATTGTAAAACAACAAATATTGTATCATTATAATTACAGTAATGCAAGTTAATAAACATTATGGAATGGAAATTTTTCGAAATTTTCAAATTTTCTTTATTCTGGTCATTATCTTTATTAATTTTATTAAAATCTATATTTATTGCATTCGATTTATATTACTTCAATTATACACTTTATTCATTTATTATCCGTTGATTTCATTTATTATTCTTCTGATCTATTATCTCTATCTTAATTCAGTGGGATCATTTTACAATTCTAAACCACCTACCGAAATTTAAATTAAAGCAGTAGAAAGAAGAAGAGAATGGAAAAATTCGGAAAGAAATTCTGATAACCAAACAAAATTTCGATTTTTTCAGCTGCACTCAGCTAAAATTAATTTTATTCCTAGTCTATTCATGTTTACTTTCATTAATTTCATAGTTTAGTCTTACTTCTATAGCTGCTTCCCAACACATCCATCGGATTCGTCCACGATCTATCGGTTCATCCGTTTCGAAATGATCCAATGCATAAGCCATATTGAAATTGGTAAGTTTAACGGTACCATCATTAGCAACCATACAGTTATTTGCCGAAAGATTTCCATGGATGAAATTTTTAGATTCCAAATATGACATTCCCGCTGCAATTTGTGTGCTTACCGACAATAGCAATTCTGTCCTGTAATAAGCTAAAATAATTGTATTTATTATTTAATCTAGAAAAGTTATTTTCAGTGTTTATTAACTTTACACAATATCTAATTTTAAACTTCCTGAAGATTTAAAAAAAAATGAACTAGAAAACAATTAAACTTATCATTAACTTGACTGACCTATAGGATAGCTCACTATTTAGGCTCTGAAGATATTGGCCAAGATATTGCTCGATATATTCATGAATACAGCTTGTTAATATACCATCACAACAAACACCGATCACTTCCAATATATTTTGATGTCTTAGACTACTTAATTCACCCACAATTAATTCAAATTTTCTCCGTTCATCATAATTTCGATGAAATGTTTTATTCACCATTGTTCGTTGTTCCAATTTGCAAAGCCAAATCTGAATTATTAAAATCATCTCATCTTACATAAGTTGTAATAGCCAATTTAAAAGTTACTATTAAACTATTTATCAATGTATTTAATGATATTAAAAATATAATATTCGAAATAAATTTTTATTATCTTTGGAAGAAGAAAGAATTAATAATAAAGGAAATAAATTCATTCCAACTAACCTCACCAAATCGACTATTACCTAAATGTTCATGAAATCGTAAACATTGCGGATCGATTTCAACGAAATTTGTTGATCTATTTGTAGTATCAATTTTATCATATCCATTATCTATTTCAGATGTTACCGAATTTCTTAAACAAAGAAAAAAATTGGCAGCTTATTTTTGAAGGAATTGCAAAATGATATGTAATGGTATTAATATGTTTCAATTCTTTATTGAAAATATTTATTTTCACTCTATTAACTTATTTACTTCATTAAAATACTTACTCCATTAACAAATATCCTAATTGTCGTGGATGTTGCATACAAATATCACTTGAAGCGTAATGAACTGTTGAGTTTGAGAGAGATTTTTTGTAATCAGATATCGTTGTTTCATTGCTAATTCCAGTAATTCCCATGTCATTGCTAAAGATTAAATCGGTTTAATTGAACAAAATGATATGAAAAATCCAATTTCATGGTATTCTCAGAATTGTTGTAATGAAGTACTCGAAAAGTTTTATCTTTATATAATGTTTTATCTTTATATAACACTTCATTACAACAATTCTGAGAATAAAAATATCTAAGCTTATGAATGATAATGAATTTTTAATTATATATAATCATTACCCTTCAATTCATGCTGCTAAAGATCTTCTAGTCAATAATATTTCTTTACCAGAGAGTTAAGAGTGTTGCTGATAACGATATCACATAGTTAATATAAAAATGAAAAAAAATCCTCGAAATGAAAAAAAATCCTCAAAAATAAAAAAATAGTTTGTAAAAATGAAAAAAAAATCCTCAAAATAATTTTTTCCTCAAATTAGCATTACATGCTTTATTTATCCACTTATTTCTTATAGAATTGTTGGATATATCTTTTTTTTTTCTAAATGAAATAAAATTTCATTGTAGGTGGAACTATTACAATTGAAGTGTTATTTGCAAAAAAGAAAATTATCAATGCTATTTTATTTCATGCATCGAATTTCTTGAAAAGTGGTGCACAGGTAATGCTTATTTAATCGAGGCCTATCGTTTAGAATTGAGGATTATTTTGGTAATATTAATCATAGACAGAATTATATTTTCTAATTAGTAGTGCAAGAATTTAATGGTCTGTATCATAAGCTCACGTATGGGTTACGTTTAATTTAATTTACACGAACATAATAGATAACGTGTTTATTTACTAATTTTAGATATACCGCTTTCATTTGATAATATTTTGTTTCTAAAGGACTATTTTAATAGTTCATTTGTGACTATCTGTTATAAATTTTGAACAAAAATTGAAAAGTTGACAATTGAAAATTTATAAACAATTCTTAAATTTTTGTTTACTTTTTCTCTCAAAATTTTCTCAAATTCTTTTTCCAACTCTTTCTCCCTAGAATTTATTTTGTATTTCTAAAAGTTAAATTGAATTCTGAGTAAATTATTTTACTTGTTTTTATAGGTATTTAAACGAGCACATATATGGTTCTCCTCTCAAGGTGGAGGTCAATATTCACCGAGAACGTTGTATTTTAATTATGTCCCAGATAAAAATTTCCAGTCAGCAAGGTTTGCCTCACTAAGATAATCAATGATAAGAATAAATGAAATTATAATTTTAATTTGTCATAAAAATGAAGATTGTAACTTTTTAATTACTCTAAATTTACTAAAATTTTTTGAAGAAAAC